GGAATGAATAGGGGAGAGGGAGGGAGGGGGAGAAAAGGAAAGGGAAGAGGGAGTGGGAGTGGGAGAGACAGGGAGATGGAGAGATGAGAGAGGGGGAGAGGGAGAGGTAAAGAGGGAGTGATAGCAATGGAGAGAAAGGAAGATGGAGAGAGAATGTGAGGAGAGAGGAAGAGAGCAAAGGAGGAGTGAGAAAGGGAGATTGGGAGCAGGGAGAGAGGGGGAGAGAGGGAGAGAGAGCAAGAGAGAGGGAGTGGGAAGAGAGAAGTGGGGAGGGAGAGAGATGGAGAGAAGGAGAGAGGGAGCAGGAGATGAGGAGAGGGAGAAAAGTGGAAAGCGAGGTTGTGAGGGAGAGGGGGACAGGGAAAAAGGAACAAGATGAGAGAGAGATGAGAGAGAGGGACAGAGTAGGGAGAGCGAGAGGAAGAGATGGCTGGGCAGACAGACAACAGAGACTGATCTAGGGCCTCATTCATGTTAGCTGTCCTGGGGTGTGAAGAAGGCTAGCTAAGCATGAGCCCATGAGAGAGGCAGAAAGTAGCGTTGCTCCACAGTCTCTGCCTGAAGTTCCTGCCCTAACTTCCCTCAATGGTGGAATGTAACCTTTTTTCTCCCTAAGTTGTTATTGCGCAAGTGCTTTGACCCATCAATCAAAAGAAACTAGAACATGTCACTCCCCCCCCCCCCACTGTGCTGTATCCACAGACCTTTTATAGCATGTTATTTTGGGACAAGGTCCTTCTAAGTTGGCCAGGCCAGGCTTGAAATCTTTTTGTTGACTATGATGACCTTGAGTTTGGGACCTCTCCGTCTCAGCCTTACAGAATAGACGGAATTATTTGTCTTTACCACCAGGTTTGGCTTGTTTATTTTACCGTGTAATCCAGACTTGTCTGGAACTCACTATGTAGTTGAGGCTTGAGTTAAACTTTTTTTTTTTTTTTTTTTTTGGTTTTTCAAGACAAGGTTTCTCTGTATAACCTTGGCTGTCCTGGAACTCGCTCTGTAGACCAGGCTGGCCTCAAACTCAGAGATCTTACCTGCCTCTGCCTCCCGAGTACTGGGATTAAAGGTGTGTGTCATCATCTCCTGGCTTGAATTAAACTTCTAAACCTCCTGCCTCAACCTTGAAAGTACTGGAATTACAGATATGTATCAAACACACATGGATCATGTCCTTTTCATTGTGTCTACAGCATTCCACACACATAGAAAAATATCATTAAAATGTTCATGTTCTGAGCAGCAAGGTCAGAATTGAGAATTTTCATTAGTATCCCAATGTGGATACCAAGAAATCTCCCAGAGTATTTATTGGCCATGACATGGGAGAAAAAATCCTCAAGGATTCCACCTCAACTCAGGCCCAGAAATATGATATGTGTCACCACATAAAAGCAAATCTCCTGAGTTTAACCAAAGGGAAAAGATGACAGCAACAATCATAAAAACTACCCCAGGCACCAAAATACTTCAAGTATCAGTTTTTTCCCTGCAGGTCAATAATTATCTGTAATTCACACAGAGACGTCAACCAAAAAACTTTGCTCATTTAATCAATTAATGGATTCTGCATTGCTTCAGGGACATAAGTAGAATACAACTAGAACATACAAGCCGAACAGTTATTTCATGTTGATTGCATGTCAGAAATTATTTCTTACCAAGACAGTTGTTCAAAAATTGGAAAAACTATTTCAAGTTTTAAATGCTTTTCATGTCACTGAACCAATCTGAAATAGTTGTCCAGTCATCTGCCATGAAACAAAAGAGGAGTGTGATGGTCATGGAAGTCCCAGTTTGCTGAGCCCACACACTTTCCCACTTCGCAGTCTAGCACAGAGGTGGCAGGTGCTATTTCCGAATAATGTATAGAATAGTATTGGTTCCATTGACCCAACTTGACATGATTCAGCCACTGTCATTGCCTCAGTCCACTTAAGGGTCTTTTTATTTTCTTGAGTATTTTTATGGTTTTCACCTTTTTTTTCTCCTTAGGATTTTTTTTTCCATTGTGGAAAAACAGAACTTGAATAAAAGGAGCCCCAGGCTATGAGTCAGAATCTCTTGTGGTGGACAGTTCAAAGAACCCAGAAGTTAAGGTAACACACCTCTTTTTTGCAACCCCAGGTCTGCCAAATCTGTAACTTTAAATTCTTTAATGTTTCTTATTCTAAGTTTTCTTTGCTGTAGTAACTGAAGAACAAGATAATATTTAATACACATATTACATTATATTATCTAACTAATATATGTGTATTAAATATTATCTTGTTCAAACGATCTAATATAATATGTGTATTAAATATTATCTTGTTCTTCAGTTCCTACAGTTGATAAGCAGACCATGCAGGTATGATAGCTCATTCCTATAAGCTCCACTTAGGAGGCAGAGACCGGAGGATTGCTCCAAGTTTGAGGCCAGCCTAGCGTACAGAATGGGACCCTGTCTCAAACAATAACTGCAAAACAGAGCAAGCTGGCATCAATTCCAAGTAATTTTATATTGAGTTCAATTTATTTATTTATTTACTTATTTATTTGTTTGTTTGTTTATTTATTTATTGTTGTTGGTTTTGGTTTTTCAAGACAGAGTTTCTCTGTGTAGCTTTGGAGCCCATCCTGGAACTCGCTCTGTAGACCAGGTTGGCCTCAAACTCACAGAGATCCACCTGGCTCTATCTCCCAAGTACTGGGATTAGAGGCGTGTACCACCACTGCCCAGCAAGTTCAAATATTTTAAATTGTGAAAAATCATTTAGCATAGGCTAGTATGGTATGTTCATCTTTTAATACCTAATGCTAAGATTATATTGAATCCTCAGTAACCTTTGCTCAATAGCGAAAAGATCCAGGAGATCTTGGTTGCGTGAGTTTGATTTTTCTAAAAAGATTTAGATGATCTCTGATTGAAGAAACTCATGTTTTTCTAGTTCAAAATTAACCACAAAAAGCAAAGGACATTCCAGAAGTCATTTCCATAATAGAAGAAGCAAAAACAGTTATATAATCAAGAAGGTTCTTACCAAAGTCGAGGACACTAAGGATAGGGAAGAGGGAAATGGGGGGCAAAGGCATTCTTTGTCATTGAAGTCGCCCATCTGTGAAGTATGAGTCACCTGTGCAAACAAGATAAGATGTGTCCTCTGTGCTCTGACTCATGCTGTCTTTTCTGATAGCATTTAAAGGGCTGAATTTTCCCAAGCGGAAGCTCAAGTAGAGATATTTACTCTCTAGCTCTGTGTCAAGTGTTCTCTAATTATTTTGGCAATGTCTGGAGTTTCAGTTAGTGAGTAAAAGCAGTCTTGAAAGTCGGCTATGCGGGGAGAATGCCTGTGTCTTAACATATGGAAACCTTCATAGACGTTGCCTTGCTCATTTCTTTTAAACAGTTTCACGGTTCCCAAGCTCTCATTGAACTCACTGTGTAGCTGAGGCTGATCTTGAACTCCCAAGTGCTAGGACTGTATGCATATATCACCATGCCCTACTAGGAACGTTCTTTAAAGCTAAAATATCCTTATTACTTGAGCCATCATAGCATAAAATTGCAGTGTGGATTTGTACTTGTTTCAGGTAGCTGTTCAAGAGATTTTAATCACAAAATAGTAAAAAAAAAACCATCTAGGTATTAATTTCAAGTATTTTCATATTGATATCATATACTTCAGAGTCCTTACAGCTCCACTTCTAATTTCAATACAGATTTTCTAAAACAAAATTTCTATTCTCTTGTATGCACACCTCATTTGAGAAGAATGTGAACAGGGATCACATTGCATTTTTCACTTGAAAATATCTAACAATGAAATATAAGGTTGTTCTTCATGTGTAAGGATTTAAATTAGGCAGGGCCTAAACATGTCAGTTCCAGCATGGAAAATGAAGATGTATCCATCAATCAGCAAGCAAATTATAGAGTATCTGTGGTGGTTCTTCCACTCTGAGGCCAAGGGAAGTTAAAAATATCTGTTGACTGATCAAGCTAGTCAACATTCCAGTATGCATAGGGACATTTAATATGACAAATGTGAGGACAGTTAACATGGTGTCTTCCCTTGAGGGATGTTTAAGTGTGTGTATTAGTTTGTTTTGGGTCACTATAATAAAGTTCCTGAGGCAAACAAATACATGCACTTAAACAGTTCCCAAGGGCAGATGTCATGGTAAATGTCCTTAGCACCAAAAGAGAAAAATTAAAGAGAAATAAGAAACTTTAAAAATTGATGGTTATGGGTTCATTAACTTGATTGTGGTATTAACACACACACAGGCATAGATAGATAGATAGATAGATAGATAGATAGATAGATAGATAGATATAGATAAAGATATAATCAAATTTGATACATGATACACACTTGAGTTATGCATATATTAGTAAAGTAGGAAAAAAATCTATAGACTATAGACCTAACTTTTATGTAATTTATGTGAAACATTTAGAAATATTAGTACACATACATACTATATGAGGAAAGATTAGGAAAATCAGGTTCAATGTAAAACAAAACAGCAGCATTCTCATCATTAGCAAGTTAGCATTACCTGAGACTGAGGTGATGCGTTCTAGGTAGGAAAGATATGACAGCCAAGAGGTGAGGAACATGCTCGCTAGCCAGTTTGCTCAGGTGTGCCTTCCTGAGGTGCTTTGCTGCTCTTTGACTTTAGTCTTGTTTTCTTTTTGGTTTTGTTGGTATTTTGGTTGGTTTGTTTTGTTTGATTTGTGTATTTGTGTATTCATTTTGTTTGTTTAAAGACAGGGTCTCATGATGCCCAGGCTGGCCTCAAACTAATTTTGTAACTTTCCTGGTCTTCCTGACTCAGCCCACCCCCTTAAGGGTTGGAGGAATTACAGGTGTGCTCTACCATACTCAGGGACATCTCAGTCATGGTCAAACCTCTGGTGCCTTAGTTTCTCCACCTGTGAAGTCCAGAAAGTGATGCAATATACCGCCTTGGTTTGGAATCACTTAGGGTTTCTGACATATTTATAACAGTACCTGCAACTGAGGAGTGTAGCTCATTGGTAAAGCACCCGCCTATCATGGGTGAGGCCCTGGCTTCGAGCTGCAGCACCTCAGGAAAAAGAGAAACATACAAAGCAAATAAAAATACAAAGTCCATAACAATACAAGGATGCTTGCTAGCTGAACCAAAGAGGTAAAAACAAAGACTGCATAATGCTATGGTTCTGATTGTCTAAACAAAAAGTTCAATTATTTTTATCAGGCAACAAATTTATCAAACAAAATGGTTGAATGGGCAATTCACATAGCTGAAAACAATTTACCTCACTAAGTGAATTTAACTGCCTTGCTGCAACTAATTCTTCTTACACAGATGATAAACAACTGTGCAGTAAAAGCTAGCCTGGGTTTGTAGCCTCGCTCCCTGGGTTCTCAGTTATGTAAGATAGGGCAAGTGATTTCTCTGTACTTTAGACACATGGCCAAATTAGGAAGAATATAGGATAGGCATGCATGTTTAGAGTGTTAATTCCTACACAGTACATAGGACTGACTGCCCTTGGCATTTTTACATTTTACGGTTATAACTCTCTTAAGGTACAAATTCAATGACTTCATAACTACTATAGTGGTATAAAGATGGGAAATTAAATTACCATAGGTGACATTTATATCATATCAAACCACCAGATTGGCAAGCTAAACCATCAGTGTATTTATTATGGAAATATTGGGATAACTACCTAATCATACCAGAGTAAACTGCCCTGGTTGAGTTTGAGACTGGTTTCTTGTTTACTCTATAATTACAATGATCACCTTAAAAACAAACTAAGGCATGCCTCTTTCCTGCTTAACATTTTCACTGATTCTTCATGTCTCACTGGCCAAATCCATCTCACCCCAAACAACAAATTAAATGATCATTAGAATCATATATGTTGTCTTTCTTTCTGAGACGTTGATTTGTCCCTCAATTTCCTCAGTACTGTTGTATTTTCAGCTCTGTTTTCTTGCCTTGACCCTTGTTCTGCAAGGCTCTTTGCTTGCCTGCAATCTGATCCTTTCTCCAAAGTTCCAGACGAGGTTGCTGTTAATAAACAGCACCTTTCCTCCTGCCTTAAGACTTAGTGCATGCATAGTCCATTATTTAACATCTTCATTCAAACAAGGACTGAATGAGGGCAGTGGCTGTTTTACTAAAAGTTGAACCCTTAGGACTGAACACACCTTTTTCTAGGCATGTCAGATGGAATGAGGAAGTGTTTGTTGAAGGAGGAAAGAGCACAACAAAACAAAACAAAAACACCAAAACAGCAACAACAACAAAAAACAATCCAGCCCAGTAAGACATTTAGCAACAATTTCTCTGACTTAACCCTATTCCCTACATTTTCAGAACATGTTTCACCATTACCACTGACCCTAGAAAACTCAAATCCTTTGCCAGTCCATACTAACCAAATTCTGCTTCTTGCCACCTTTCCCAATGAACAATAAAGAAACTGGATCCAGGGTGTGCCTAACTTTATGCTACTAGATAGATCTTTTCCTCACCCTAGACCTTAGAGTCCACATTTAAAACATAAGAAAATATGGTTAGTTTACGTTTATGCTACAATATGAGAAAATTCTGTCATATTCACCAGCAGAACTCCCCATTTTGTGACAGTTCACTCCTGTAAGCAGCAGTAGTAGTCCTCATTAGCTTTAGGTGCCAGCTTGACCCAGCCTAGAGGAACATGAAAAGGGAGTTTCAATTGAGGGGCTGCCTACATCAAACTGGCCTGTCGCTATGTCTGTGGGGGACTGTCTTGATTATTGATTGCTGTGGGAGGACCAAGGCCACTGAGGGCAGACATCCCTTGAGCAGGTGGTCCTAGAGTGCCTAGGAAAGCTAGCTCAGCAAGAGCCTGTGAGAGGTGCCATAAGCAATGTTTCTCCATGGTCCCTGCTTCAAGTTCCTGCCCTGACTTCCCTTAATAATGGACTGGAACCTGTAAGATGAAATACACAAAATTTCTTTTGCCCAAGGCGTTACCACAGCAACAAAAAGGGAACATATACGAAAGCCAACTTATCCAGGCTCATGAGAGTCCACTGTGCATATTTGTTCTAACGTATTGGTAGCTTGAAATTGCCTACATTAGGAGAATGCATACTCCAGGAATCAACAAAATCAGTAAGTGAGGATTTTTTTTCCTGGAGCTGGTTGTTTAAACATTTACTGGGACACTACTGTCAGTGAGCTGCAGCTGCTACCATGGGAACAGTAATCAGTCCTGGATTAAAACCTAGTCTTAATGCTCTATTGAGCAAAATGTATTGGTGTGGATAGCTTACACGTAAATATAAAAGACAGAACTATATCTTTTGGCTGTTTTAGTTCAAGATGGGCCACAAGTGGGTTGTGAGACTAGGTTTTCAGTACATATGACAGAGACCTCAGGGAGCACCAGCAGTGAGTTAAAGATGGAAGAAATACATTGCACATTCATGAGCAGCCTCCTATGATGGGCATTTGGGGCACAATTCCATCTAGATCATCTGAATTTGCAGAGAATGCAACTCAGAATTATTATAGCTAAAAGTGAGAAGCTGGAGTGTTTGTGTACAACCCTCTGCCCACAAGAGACTGAGCTGAGTCTGTGGGCTTTAAGGCCATGGGATTGTTTTCAGCTGTCAAAGCATACTTCCAACAGGCAGAAAATGTCCCTTTGCGGAGACTTGTGCACACATACCATAAGAAACAATGGGCCTGTGCTACAGAGGGTAATAATATGACAAAGAAATTAATAATACTGACTTATCAGTGCAGAACTTTTCCACCAGAGACATTCAATCTCAAATTGTTCTTTTCCCACAAAGGCGATGGCATCAGAGCAGACACACTGAGGCCATTCTCCAGGTAGCCACAGCAAGTGAGTTTGAAAACAGCATGTTTCACTAAATTTCACATTGATAACTATGAATATTAGTATGTGAAAAACAATAGAATAATAGCATTTGAGTTGCATGGAGTTCTGGGCTTAGCATTTTAACGGTAAGTAATGAACTGTTGTTAAAGTGAGAATGCTCTAAAAGTGATGGAGAATCTTTTAAACGGGGTTAAAGGTGTGACTGAGTGGATGAGCACTTGCCTAGCACATGCGGGGATCTGAGTTCCATCATCTGTACTGCCAAAACCTCCTTTAGCTGCAGAAGGAAGGATTCCAGTAAGAACAGAAGGGCATTCACAGGAAAACTAACTGGATGACTTGAGAAGAAAATACATACATGAATCAGAGACATTTCTCTTACATATTAGGACCATATTCTTCATTATTTGAAATGCATTACAATTAGATTGACATTATTTGGGCAGGTACTGCTCACATCATTGAGAAAGGAGTCAGATAACGATAACCTAGGTACACAAATGCTAATTTTGTTTTATTCATAAAGAAATTAAATATACATTTTATGCATCAATGGTTTTATTTATTTAGTCATGTGTTTATTAGGTCTCCTGTATACTAAGCAAGCACTCTACAACTGAGCCACATTATCCCAGAAATAGTTCTTGAAACATCATTTGAGAACCTCTAGAGATCCCTGATACTGCCTCCTGGGATCTCGAAGTCAAAATTTATTTCCTAATGCCCAGGTTCTGAGAGGGAAGCCTTGATTAAGGAATTGCCTAGACCAGATGGGCCTGTAGGCATGCCTGTGGGGGATTGTCTTGATTGTTAATTAATGCAGGAGAGCTGAGCCAACAGTGGCTGGCACTATCCCTAGGTAGGTAGTCCTAGACTGTATAAGAAAGCTAGCGAAGTGTGAACCTGTGACTGATCCAGTAAACAAGGCAGGAGGAAGACTTCCTCCAGGATTCCTGCCTTCATTTCCCTCAGTGATGGACTGTGACCTGGAAGTGTAAACCAAATAAACCATTTCCTCACCAGTTTGCATTTGTCACAGCAACAGAAATGCAACTACACAACAACCTGACATAGACCTCTGGCCTCCACATTCATGTATACTCAGACTCATGGACACTTACACGCATAATACACACACACACACACACACACACACACACACACACGAAACATCTACTAAAAGTATAGAATATTTAAATGTATAAAACAAGGGCTGGAGAGATGACTCAGTCGTTAAATCACTGGCTGCTCTTCCAGACAAAGGAGATTTGATTCCTAGCAAATGCATAATGGCTTACAACCATTCATAAATCCGGTTCCAGGTTATTAGATACCCTTTTCTGGCTTCTCCAGGCTCCGGGCATGCATATGCAGACAAAACACCCAAATACATAAAATAAAAATATTTTTAAGTATACTGCAATACTTAAGAAAGCAACAACAGGAATAGAGACAAACCAAGAATTTTAAAGGTGAAAGGCCTTTAGTTTTCTAATCTCTTTGAAATAAATGGAGAAATAAAACTGAAAGGTCTTATTCCATAAGAAATGAAGGGTCAGAGTTAGAACACAAGAGTTCTCAATTATTAGCAGATGTTTCTGGCTTTGTTTTTAAATCTTAAAGAGAACTATGAGAGACTAGCCACTTAATCTCTAGATGAAACTATTCAAGGAACAGGAAAATATATTCTAGATAAAGCCTTCTTAATGAAATGATATGCTCTGGATCAAAGAATAGAAATAAACTCAATTATTTCCTCTCAAGCTCCCTCTCCCAACACACATACAAAACCTGAGGATATCATTTCAAAACAAAAAGAGAGGTATCCTATTAAAGTAAATGCAGGCCGGGCGGTGGTGGCGCACGCCTTTAATCCCAGCACTCGGGAGGCAGAGCCAGGCGGATCTCTGTGAGTTCGAAGCCAGCCTGGGCTACCAAGTGAGTTCCAGGAAAAGGCACAAAACTACACAGAGAAAGCCTGTCTCGAAAAACAAACAAACAAACAAAAAAAAAAGTAAATGCAAAGAAATTGGATGTTATTCAAGCCAAGACCACGTTATCAGATTCCTTACTCTGGATTAGGTACTTTCTAAATTACCCCCAAAGTCGTCCTAAAGTTCCTGCTACCTTAAACGTAGCTTCATAGAAGAATATACACAGAATTCATAACCAGGTAACAGTTATGATGGTA